CCAATGTTCTGTCGCCTACTATTACACTTTAATAAGACGGTTCAGCCGTCTCCAATGTTCTGTCGCCTACTGTTACACTATAAAGAGACGAATCAGCCGTCGTCAGTTTTCTGTCGCCTACTGTTACACTACATCCGTATCCAATGTTCTGTCGCCTACTATTACACTTTAATAAGACGGTTCAGCCGTCTCCAATGTTCTGTCGCCTACTGTTACACTATAAAGAGACGAATCAGCCGTCGTCATTTTTCTGTCGCCTACTGTTACACTACATCCGTATCCAATGTTCTGTCGCCTACTGTTACACTATAAAGAGACGAATCAGCCGTCGTCAGTGTTCTGTCACCTACTGTTACATTATAAAGAGACGAATCAGCCGTCGTCAGTTTTCTGTCGCCTACTGTTACACTACATCCGTCTCCAATGTTCTGTCGCCTACTATTACACTTTAATAAGACGGTTCAGCCGTCTCCAATGTTCTGTCGCCTACTGTTACACTATAAAGAGACGAATCAGCCGTCGTCAGTTTTCTGTCGCCTACTGTTACACTACATCCGTCTCCAATGTTCTTTCGCCTACTATTACACTTTAATAAGACGGTTCAGCCGTCTCCAATGTTCTGTCGCCTACTGTTACACTATAAAGAGACGAATCAGCCGTCGTCATTTTTCTGTCGCCTACTGTTACACTACATCCGTATCCAATGTTCTGTCGCCTACTGTTACACTATAAAGAGACGAATCAGCCGTCGTCAGTGTTCTGTCACCTACTGTTACATTATAAAGAGACGAATCAGCCGTCGTCAGTTTTCTGTCGCCTACTGTTACACTACATCCGTCTCCAATGTTCTGTCGCCTACTATTACACTTTAATAAGACGGTTCAGCCGTCTCCAGTGTTCTGTCGCCTACTGTTACACTATAAAGAGACGAATCAGCCGTCGTCAGTTTTCTGTCGCCTACTGTTACACTACATCCGTATCCAATGTTCTGTCGCCTACTGTTACACTATAAAGAGACGAATCAGCCGTCGTCAGTGTTCTGTCACCTACTGTTACATTATAAAGAGACGAATCAGCCGTCGTCAGTTTTCTGTCGCCTACTGTTACACTACATCCGTCTCCAATGTTCTGTCGCCTACTATTACACTTTAATAAGACGGTTCAGCCGTCTCCAGTGTTCTGTCGCCTACTGTTACACTATAAAGAGACGAATCAGCCGTCGTCAGTTTTCTGTCGCCTACTGTTACACTACATCCGTATCCAATGTTCTGTCGCCTACTATTACACTTTAATAAGACGGTTCAGCCGTCTCCAATGTTCTGTCGCCTACTGTTACACTATAAAGAGACGAATCAGCCGTCGTCAGTTTTCTGTCGCCTACTGTTACACTACATCCGTCTCCATTGTCTGAGTTTTTATAATTATCAGACGTGATATACAGTTGCTCGAGTGATCAGAGGCTAGGTTTTTTAAATTCCTGAAATATCCTGGGGGTGGGGGGTGGGGGTTGGGGTCGGGGTCTCTGATATATTCAACATATTTCTGGAAGAAACAGTTTTTTAATAGTTGACGGTCTTAGGCGCAAATATCCCATCCAGGCTAATTGAAATGATTAACATCAACTTTTGAAAATGTAGATACGTATTGTTTATATGCTAAATATTGGTTTAATTTGTTTTACACGTGTATTCTCATACGGTTAATTAAAAAATAACCTGATCATTTGCAGTTGAAATATGCTTTTCGCCACAAAGGATACATGTATGTATGTCCCCACACATTAGACTTTCCAGATTCGTCCTGAATGATATGAGATTCAAGCTGGGTCCATGTGTGTGCATTGTTTGCTATACAGACTAATACTAGTGTCTGAGATGTTTGCAAATACTCCAATCCCTCAACGTAAAAAGTACGATTGATGGACGCGCTGCAGCGTGAACGGAACATTAACTGCTACAAACTAGTTATCTGTATTACTCGGGCATCTGTTCATGCACATTTTCTATATGTAGGACGCAGCAGTCGAACTCTTGTCAGTACACGTACCTAAGCATAATAATCTGTCTAAACCAGTATCATACGGTGATGTTAGAGTATTTGGATACCATGGGTGGGCACCGTCTCAGAAGTTACATAGATAGAGACCTAAATGTGGGATGCGACTCACTCTCAGGTCATATTTATATGTAATTGATAGTAGTTTAGATGCTGATGATATCACACACCGTGTAATTTACCCTACATCATTCATGATATCCACCGTATATACTTCACTATTTATCTTATATCATTCATGATATCAACCGTATATACTTCACTATTTATCCTATATCATTTATGATATCAACCTTATATACTTCACTATTTATCTTATATCATTCATGATATCAACCTTATATACTACACTATTTATCTTATATCATTCATGATATCAACCGTGTATACAACACTATTTATCTTATATCATTTATGATATAAACCTTATATATTTCACTATTTATCCTATATCATTTATGATATCAACCTTATATACTACACTATTTATCTTATATCATTAATGATATCAACCTTATATACTTCACTATTTATCTTGTATCATTCATGATATCAACCTTATATTTCACTATTTATCCTATATCATTAATGATATCAACCTTATGTACTACACTATTTATCTTATATCATTCATGATATCAACCTTATATACTTCACTATTTATCTTATATCATTCATCATATCAACCTTATATTTCACTATTTATCTTATATCATTAATGATATCAACCTTATATACTTCACTATTTATCTTATATCATTAATGATAGCAACCTTATATACTACACTATTTATCTTATATCATTTATGATATCAACCTTATATACTACACTATTTATCCTACTATATCATTCATGATATCAACCTTATATACTACACTTTTTATCTTATATCATTCATGATATCAACCTTATATACTTCACTATTTATCTTATATCATTCATGACATCCACCGTATATACTTCACTATTTATCTTATATCATTCATGATATCAACCTTATATACTTCACTATTTATCTTATATCATTTATGATATCAACCGTATCTACTACACTATTTATCTTATATCATTAATGATAGCAACCTTATATACTACACTATTTATCTTATATCATTCATGATATCAACCTTATATACTTCATTATTTATCTTATATCATTCATGATATCAACCGTATATACTACACTATTTATCTTATATCATTCATGATATCAACCGTATTTACTACACTATTTATCTTATATCATTCATGATATCAACCTTCTATACTACACTATTTATCTTATATCATTCATGATATCAACCTTATATATTTCACTATTTATCTTATATCATTTATGATATCAACCTTATATACTTCACTATTTATCCTATATCATTCATGATATCAACCGTATATACTACACTATTTATCTTAAATTATTCATGATATCAACCGTATATACTACACTATTTATCTTATATCATTAATGATATCAACCTTATATACTTCACTATTTATGCTATATCATTCATGATATCAACCTTATACACTACACTATTTATTTTATATCATTCATGACATCAACCTTATATACTTCACTATTTATGCTATATCATTCATGATATCAACCTTATATAGTTCACTATTTATGCTATATCATTCATGATATCAACCTTATAGACTACACTATTTATCTTATATCATTCATGATATCAACCTTCTATACTACACTATTTATCTTATATCATTCATGGTATCAACCTTATATACTACACTATTTATCCTACTATATCATTCATGATATCAACCTTATACACTACACTATTTATTTTATATCATTCATGATATCAACCTTATATACTTCACTATTTATGCTATATCATTCATGATATCAACCTTATATACTACACTATTTATTTTATATCATTCATGATATCAACCTTATATACTTCACTATTTATCCTATATCATCAGGGACATCCATCTGATATACTACACTATTTATCCTATATCATCCGGGACATCTGTCTTACATGTTACACTATTTACCCTTTACCATCCGGGACATCCACCTTATAAACCATATTAGTTACCCTATACCATCCGGGACATCCACCTTATATAACATACTATTTACATTATGTCATCCGGGACAGCCACCTTATATGCATCACTATTTACCTTATATCATCGGGGACATCCTCATTATATGCCATATTGTTAGCCTTATATCATCCGGGACATGAACTTTATTTACAACACTATTTACCCTATATCAACCGTGACATTCACCTAATTACTACACTATTTACCCTATATCATCCGGGACAGCCACCTTATATGCATCACTATTTACCTTATATCATCCGGGACATCCTCATTATATGCCATACTGTTAACCTTATATCATCCGGGACATCCACTTTACATACCATACTATTTACCCTATATCATCCGGGACATCCACCTTATATGCCATTGTATTTACCCTATACGATCCGGGATATCCATCTAATATACTACACTATTTACCCTATATCATCTGGGACATCCACCTTATATACCATACTATTTACCTGATTTCATCCGGTACACCCACTTTACAGTCACTGTTTATACTATACTATTTACCCTATATCATCCAGGACATTCACCTTTTATACTTCACAATTTACCCTTCATCATCCGTGACATCGACCTTATATGCCATACTGTTTACCTTATATCAAGCGGGACATCCACCTTATATATTATTTACCCTATATTGTCACTTTGGACTCATATTTAGTTCCAAGTATTCTTGTCATGCAAGACATCGTAAATCAAATCAGATTCAAAATTTACTGCTTACAATTATTTTTTGATTCCAAACTATCTATTATGTAACTGAACAAACGATGAAATTTGAATAAAAACCTCCAACTTTCATCGACCGTTAACATAACCTGCCGATATAACCTACTTAGCGTCTACCCAGTAGAGACGTCTGCTCGGGTGGTCGGTCGTAAGTCCGATAGATCGACCCATATTTGGCAAGATCTCCTTGGTGATATTGAAAATGACGTCATGTTGGGTTCTGCTGATATCGTAGCGCTCTATACTTGCGGAAGGTGAATACAAAGTACCGACCCAGTCTATCCAGAACAGGTACCTGTAAAGAACAAACAACATTAGGCTTATTTACCATCAAGAAAAGTTACAGAAGGTCTATTTTAATTCTTAGAAAATAACTTGATCTGTATGTGCCTAGTTGCAAACGAGGGGTGAAATTATTATGTTCCGTCTTTGACTAGTTACACACGAGGCGTGACATTATTATGTTCCGTCTGTGACTAGTTACACACGAGGCGTGACATTATTATGTTCTGTCTGTGACTAGTTACACACGAGGCGTGACATTATTATGTTCCGTCTGTGACTAGTTACAAACGAGGCGTGACATTATTATGTTCCGCCAGTGACTAGTTACAAACGAGGCGTGACATTAATATGTTCCGTCTGTGACTAGTTACAAACAAGGGATGAAATTATTATGTTCCGTCTGTGACTAGTTATAAACGAGGCGTGGCATTATTATGTTTCGTCTGTGACTAGTTACAAACGCGGGGTGAAATTATTATGTTCCGTCTGTGACTCGTTACACACGAGGCGTGACATTATTATGTTCCGTCTGTGACTAGTTACAAACGAGGGGTGTAATTATTATGTTCCGTCTGTGACTAGTTACAAACAAGGGATGAAATTATTATGTTCCGTCTGTGACTAGTTATAAACGAGGCGTGACATTATTATGTTTCGTCTGTGACTAGTTACAAACGCGGGGTGAAATTATTATGTTCCGTCTGTGACTCGTTACACACGAGGCGTGACATTATTATGTTCCGTCTGTGACTAGTTACAAACGAGGGGTGTAATTATTATGTTCCGTCTGTGACTAGTTACACACGATTGGTGAAATTAACATGTTCCGTCTGTGACTAGTTACAAACGAAGGATGATGAAGGTTGCGTCCCGACGTTTAGAAGTTCATATCCATACAAACAGTCTCCATGACAACCTGCAATCGGCCTACCGCATCGGACACTCTACTGAGACGGCCCTCCTACGTGTACATAATGACAAAGCTTCTGAATTGGATAACAATTGCAGAGCGGTGCTTGTCATGCTGAATTTGTCAGCTGTATTTGACGTCATCGACTATGACATTCTTTATAAACCATCTGGAGTACTCCTAACGAGTGAAGGATATCGCACTATGACATTCTTTATAAACCGTCTGGAGTACACCTAAGGAATGAGGGATATCGCACTATGACATACTACACGAGGCGTGACATTATTATGTTCCGTCTGTGACTCGTTACACACGAGGCGTGACATTATTATGTTCCGTCTGTGACTCGTTACACACGAGGCGTGACATTATTATGTTCCGTCTGTGACTAGTTACAAACGAGGGGTGTAATTATTATGTTCCGTCTGTGACTAGTTACAAACGAGGGGTGTAATTATTATGTTCCGTCTGTGACTCGTTACACACGAGGCGTGACATTATTATGTTCCGTCTGTGACTCGTTACACACGAGGCGTGACATTATTATGTTCCGTCTGTGACTAGTTACAAACGAAGGATGATGAAGGTTGCGTCCCGACGTTTAGAAGTTCATATCCATACAAACAGTCTCCATGACAACCTGCAATCGGCCTACCGCATCGGACACTCTACTGAGACGGCCCGCCTACGTGTACATAATGACAAAACTTCTGAATTGGATAACAATTGCAGAGCTGTGCTTGTCATGCTGAATTTGTCAGCTGCATTTGACGTCATCGACTATGACATACTTTATAAACCATCTGGAGTACTCCTAACGAGTGAAGGATATCGCACTATGACATACTTTATAAACCGTCTGGAGTACTCATAAGGAGTGAAGGATATCGACTATGACATACTTTATAAACCGTCTGGAGAACTCCTAAGGAGTGAAGGATATCGTACTATGACATACTTTATAAACCGTCTGGAGTACTCCTATGGAGTGAAGGATATCGCACTATGACATACTTTATAAACCGTCTGGAGGACTCCTAAGGAGTGAAGGATATCGCACTACGACATACTTTATAAACCGTCTGGAGTACTCATAAGGAGTGTAGGATATCGACTATGACATACTTTATAAACCGACTGGAGAACTCCTAAGGAGTGAAGGATAACGCACTATGCAGGAGACGATAGACACAAGTAAGAACAGCACATAAAAAACGACACACACAGGGAAGAACAGCACATAAAAGACGGTAGACACAGGGAAGAACAGCACATAAAAGACGGTAGACACAGGGAAGAACAGCACATAAAAGACGATAGAGTCCTAAGGAGTGAAGGATATCGTACTATGACATACTTTATAAACCGTCTGGAGAACTCCTAAGTAGTGAAGGATATCGTACTATGACATACTTTATAAATCGTCTGGAGTACTCCTAAGGAGTGAAGGATATCGCACTACGACATACTTTATAAACCGTCTGGAGTACTCCTAAGGAGTGAAGGATATCGCACTATGCAGGAGACGATAGACACAAGGAAGAACAGCACATAAAAAACGACACACACAGGGAAGAACAGCACATAAAAGGCGATAGACACAGGGAAGAGTAGCACATAAAAGACGGTGGACACAGGGAAGAAAAGCACATTAAAGACGATAGATACAGGGAAGAACAGCACAGCACACAAAAGACGATAGACTCAAGGAAGGGAAAAACAGCACATAAAAGACAATAGACACAGGGATGAACAGCACATAAAAGACGATAGATTCAGGGAAGAACAGCACATAAAGACGATAGACACAGGGAAGAACAGCACATAAAAGACGGTAGACACAGGGAAGAACAGCACATAAAAGACGGTAGACACGTGGAAGAACAGCACATAAAAGACGATAAACTCAGGGAAGAACAGCACATAAAAGACGATATACTCAGGGCAGAACAGCACATAAAAGACGATAGACACAGAGCAGAACAGCACATAAAAGACGATAGACACAAGGATGAACAGCACATAAAAAACGACAGACATAGGGAAGAACAGCATATAAAAGGCGATAGACTCAGGGAAGAACAGCACATAAAAGACGATAGACACAGGGAAGAATAGCACATAAAAGACGATAGACACAAGGAAGAACAGCACATAAAAGACGATAGACTCAGGGAAGAACAGCACATAAAAGACGATAGACACAGGGAAGAGTAGCACATAAAAGACGATATACTCAGGGCAGAACAGCACATAAAAGACGATAGACTCAGGGAAGAACAGCACATAAAAGACGATAGACACAGGGCAGAACAGCACATAAAAGATGATAGACACAAGGATGAACAGCACATAAAAAACGACAGACACAGAGAAGAACAGCACATAAAAGGCGATAGACTCAGGGAAGAACAGCACATAAAAGACGATAGACACAGGGAAGAATAGCACATAAAAGACGATAGTCACAAGGAAGAACAGCACATAAAAGACGATATACTCAGGGAAGAACAGCACATAAAAGACGATATACCCAGGGAAGAACAGCACATAAAAGTCGATAGACTCAGGGAAGAACAGCACATAAAAGACGATAGACACAGGGAAGAACAGCACCTAAAAGACGAGAGACTCAGGGAAGAACAGCACATAAAAGACGATAGAGTCAGGGAAGAGTAGCACATAAAAGACGATAAACACAAGGAAGAACAGCACATAAAAGACGATAGAGTCAGGGAAGAACAGCACATAAAAGTCGATAGACTCAGGGAAGAACAGCACATAAAAGACGCACTCAACCGTTATGGCAAACCCGGCTGGTCAATTTACAAAGTGAAAAGATCTGTAAAAGATAAAACGGAAAATAGAAAACCGAGGCAAAAGAAAAGGAATGAAAGCCAAACCAAATGCAGAGTCTGAGTCACTATACCCTATGTGAAGGCGACATCTGAGGCGTTTACCCGAGTGATGAGGAAACACCATTTCAGCACCCCGGTGAGACAACTGACAACACTAAGACAGTTGGTGCACCCCAAAGACAAGACTGACATTTTAGACAAAACGTGAGTTGTATATCAAATACCGTGCACAACTTGTCAGCAGTCATATATAGGTGAAACTGGGGGGATTTGATTCACGTCTGAAGGAACATTAAAAGGACGAAGAGAATATGAGCAACGTCACATTTACCAGATCCACACGCAAAACATCAGCCACACAGTATATTAAATCGGCATTAACAGATCATACTAAAACCCAAAATCACATCGTTGATTAGGACGATGCCAAGATAGTTGAAAGGGAGCAACACACAAAAACAAGACAAATCAAAGAAGCAATCAAAATCAGGAAAATTCAGAACATGAACAGAGACAAGGGGGGACAGCAGCTGAGTCATCTGTAAGACCCGATACTGACTTAAAGGGACATCACGTGAGAAGGCGTTTTTTTGATAATGAATGTATGTATTGTATGCACTTCCACTTATGTTACCTCGCTATCCCCATATTTATAGTCCGTTCCAAATGTCCAGTTTGACCACTTGAATTGTTCGGGAAAGCCCTGCTAAAAATAGCGTCGATAACGTCACCTGACTAGCCCGTAAACACAAGTGGTGCGAGCGAGATGAAACGGTTTCCAAAGGGGCCCCCAGAGAGGGGCCGTCAGGCAACTGCAACTTCTTACCGCACTATGAAACCAAGTTGTATGATTTTTAAGTCCGTGTTCAAACTTATTGTACAGTAATTATTCATCATCAAAAGTTAATTGCACACTTGCCAATATTCAGAATTTAAATTTATTTAGCTTTAAACATAAATTTGTTGCCAATAAAATTAAACAAGGGACGGGGCACAAGTTTTAACAATTTATCATAGCCTTCTCCCGTCATACATTTACGATTAAATGTCAACAATGATAATAGGCATAAACACAAAGTAGATATATTTAAATATATATTGAATTTAGTACCGGAATGTGACCGGTACAGGTGGTACGGGGCAAAACACCTTCCCTCAACAATCGGACAAACCTTTCTGTAAAAAGGAATATTCACGAGCCGAATATCCCTTTTCAAATGTTTACATAAAGTGCATATATGCAATGTCAAACTACACGCGAATAAAAAAGGAAACGTTTGTGAATTTATTTATTACATTATACAACTCAATGTCTTTGGCCATTTTTTTCCTAGACCATGCATATAAATCTATGTATACTCTCTTTTCCACTTTCACTGTCTCCATACGCTAACATTTAGTAAGTCATATTAGCCATCACACACACTAAACTGTATGGCAAAACCACTACGTGTACATGTAGAATATGTGTCAGATATGGAAAGTGTTGAGATACTTGATAATTATATTTTTTCAATACTTTACAGAGATTAAAGCATACTTGTAAATGTACCTTTTTATGTTGAGACAACTTTTTTTTAATCAGTTCCTTTTGTCCGAAACAGAAGCCGTAGTTATCAGCAGGACGCGCCACTTTTACAACGTAATCAAATATTTCCCCCCCNCATATGAAAACATGAACTGTTGAAAAATTACGATTTAAAAAGAAATTGTTATGCGATCCTATTTACTAGAAGTAGATTCTTCTTCCTCAGTTATTCATCCTGGTCCGTCATTTTGACATTTTTAATCTAGCTGCGATAACGTAGCTTTCTGACGAAGAGCGATTTTTTTTATATATATTGCGTCGTCGCGCCAGAGGAGGCCGGGTATTATATTAGTACTAATTTAAATCTTGCATGTCAAAACAAAACAAAAATCGTTTGATTCAGCAATATAATTAAATCATACCATTTTACTGATCCCGGTAATATTATAAATTATGTAAATCTAATAGCGCACGTATCTCATCTGACCCCGAGTACCGTCAGAGGATCAGAAGCAGAATACACCGTGGCCATCACAAAAGTTATCCCTTGGAGGGCCTCATGGCAAAATCAAACTAACCAGTCACTTATTCCTTTCGTTCGCATAAACCACTGTATAATTATAAAAAAACACAAAGTAAACTCTCTCCGATACATGCCCATTAACATATTAAACTAAGTTCTTCTGTGTTCAAACTCACACTATGATACTAGCGAGGTTAACAGTTTTAGATATTTATTCATAACATAAACAGCGCTAGCATTTCTGTCGATTTTATTTCAGCTTAACCGGCCGCTATCCGGAAGAATACATGCACCGTACTAACTGCTAGGTCAGTTATTTTCTGCTATGAATACTTCCCACTGCCAATAATGATTCCGTAACGTACCCCTTGCGCTATCTTTTGACCATTTGGCAACTTTTCGCTTCGTAGCTGACACGGTCCAACACTTTTCTTTCGCTTACTTTACACGACCAGTCATTTTGTTTACAAAGAAATGGTGTGCTATGCGCATGCGCTTGTAGAGGGAAATCCCTGAACAAAACGTTGGTCAGACAGGTCATACCGATGATTATCTTAGATTTAATCATTTTTATGAATCTGTTTCAGCCAAATCCGATCGTTATTTTCCATAAGGAGACTCACTTGATATGTTTATGTAGTATTTGAAAAAAAGACACAAAACAAAGTTACTTCAGCGTGATGCCCCTTTAGCAGGGGAGGGGGTGAGATTTACACCCTACCTGTAACCTATCTGATGCAGTGTGTATACGTATACGCTCCCTATCGATAGGGGAAACATCCCAGTCGAGTGCCATACAAAACATACAATTTCGTCACATCGTTCAGGTAAAAAATATAAATCGCTCACTCAGTCATAGCTTGACAAAGTAACTAGTCGGTCTTAAAACGTTGCGACACGTTTAATGCGTACATTGTTTGTGAAGAAAGTAAAACTTTGATATCATATATTATGGGAGGTTGTCGAAAAGCTAACCAGGCCCTTACTTACAATTTACCCCTCTAGCTTCATATGCTGCAGAAAATGTATCCAAACTAATGATAAATACAAATTTATTTAATTTTTAATATTTTGCGCCGCATAATCGGCTTGAAGCTCTACATTTTGTTTTAAATTGAAAAAAAATCTAGATACAGAATGTAATTGAAACTATTAAGATCAATTTCGGTTGATAGAGATTGAACTGTATGTGCTGGAATAGCGTGTAACTGTCGTTCAATGTATACTTCCTGATTTCTCCATTAAAACGTGTTTTTTTCATATAGGAACAGTAAAATACAAAGAAATCATTCAAATGAAAGACCGTCTCGGAAAGTCGAGGAAGTTCTGAACCTGTTGAATCCGTGACAGATTTCGTGTACATCGTTGTAACGCCAATTAGCACATACAATCACCATACACGAACTTCACAACACAATATGCATTTACCCAACAAGGGGGTCGAGGACAAGGGACTTCGGATTGGAAAGGTCTTCATCCAATATGGTTGTAGGATTATTTCCTTCAAGGGAAGCAACTCTTATCTGTGAGGGATACGTCTGCATCCAAAATAAGTGGCGTGTGCTCCAGTCAACAGCGATACTTTCAATGGTGGCTGACACCGCGTCAACTACCAAATGGACGTCGGTCAGAACTGGAAAACAATGGCTACAATCGTTATCAATCTCCTTATACTAACCATATATATATCAACATGGTCATGACACAAATGCGTATTTGTTGGGTTAAAAGATACATTAAAGCCGGCTTGTTTTATTAATCAGACAATAAAGTCGACTTGTAAGATTTTCATCATATCTTATTGAGTAAACAAAAGGATTAAACAGCAGGCTAGGCCTAGACTTGTTTTCAAAGACATCCAAACCGATTTGTTTGATTAACAACTGGCTTGTTTATTAAAGTAAGTCGACTTGTTCAATTAAACAGATATTAAAGCCGTACTGTTCTTACTAGTGAGAGGTACAGTAACAATAAATACAAAACTGTAACAGCTGTTGTTGTTGTCACAAGTTTGTAACGTAAGCAATGGTTTACCATTTTAAATAAAACGCTGAAGAGCTCAGGAGGGTGAAAAGCCTAACCATTAGAGAAACCCGTTGTTTCTAGGCTTGTAGTTGCTATATAAGCAAATGAGTGGTTGCATGCAAATACAAAATCCTCACATGTAGCATTTGTTTTGTATATATTGTGCTGTCCGAAATAGTGGTTAAAAAGTTAAACGGTTAAAAACTATTAAATGTGGCTGATTTTGTCCATTATAATAAACAGCAGATGTCCATAACGACCTCCAACAATCGGTATCATTCTATTACATTTTTGCCAGTGAAATATCGGATTCTGTCAACTTGATAAAACTGAAATGGTGTGAAAATATCACCTTCTGATATTGACCAATCATAACAGTATCTTCTATTCGCTGCATACAAAGGCAACGATTTTTTGCTCAGATTTAAATGAAGCGACGGTAGAATAAGTGGTTGTTATGGTAAATGTTTGGTACACACACTTAAGTATTTACACAAATATACAATTGATAAAATTTGTAGAAAACGTCGGAATTGCGTTTAGTATCACATTCAAAATGGCGCGCAGACTTGTTGTCAAGTGTGACGTCATTAGGATATGGCGCTAATAATTACGCTTCTGATTCCCGTCCTTCTTTAATGCATTACATTTTTTCATGTTTTATGCTTTAAAAATGTAATAAATAGAAAATGTAATGGTGTCTTCAGTAAAAACAAATATATAACACGAGTGTGGCTAATATTTTTATATTTTACACGAGTGCGCAGCACAATTGTAAAATATCAAAATATTAGCCACACTCGTGTAATATATTTGTTATTACTGACGACGACATTAAATATCCTCTATTTGTTCAGAATCTTAATAATTCTTATATCAGTAATTTTAATAATGAAGTTATTTTTTGTAATATATACAACAACATTAAGGGTATTTTTGGTTTCAGAACTTCTGAGGTAAAATATATGAATCTGAAATTAACCAGACTCTCCTAAAGGCCAACCAGAGATTTAGATTTTATTGTTATTAAAATTTATTAAAAAAAAACGATAAGCTGTTTGGCAATAAAGGTTGACTGACATACCGTCGAGTGCTAGTGAACCCCTGTATATCCTACTGTCCCCGTGGCTGGCCCAATAGATCCACTGGAGGCTGAAGTGGTAGTCTATGGCGGCTCCCTGGTCTAGGCCGGAGTACAGACTGATCAGATCTCCAGTCGACACGTCATATAACATTATCTTATGCAAGGAAGACAATAGGATAAACACTGGAATCTCAGCGTCTGTTAAGAGACAAAGAACAGATGAACTAATGGAGTCCGACACTGATCAAAAGTTATGTTAGCGAAAAAAGAACGGGATACTTATATGTTTGTTATCGCGATGATTATTACGAAGAGACTGAAAATCATGTTTTAATCTTGCTATAGCAATGTATAGAGCTAGGCCTCTTGTGTGGCATGTTTGACATCTTCATATATACTATTAAAAGGATAAACAGGGCATACCGGCATCAATGTTTCTAAAATTCCGTTCAATAACTGTAAAATTGCAGTAATTATTTATTTAAATGCATGTAATTATTAATCGTCATTCCAGAAACAGCCTAACACCATCTAAATGTTTGTTCTTTATGCTCTCTGGTATGTACTAATACTGAGATAGTTGCGTGATGCAGGATGTTCTATCTATAAGAACGGCGACCTTCATCATTAGGACTTGTTGAACAATCTGAAGCAAGGAGTTTCGATAAGAAAGATGTGTATGATTATTTGATTCTGATACGTTCATGAGAACTCCAGTTTCCTTTTTAGTTGGCAAAAGAGATCAAAGCCATTGTTACCATAAATAGAAAAGTTTTTAAAAAAATGTGCCAGTTAAGGATTTCCTGTATAAAGCTAAATTGGCACAGGGTATACAATTTTGTCACATCGTTGTAAATGTAAACAATACAAATCGTTCACTCAGTCATAGCTTGACAAAGGGACCAGTCGCACATTGTTTTGTGTATAAAGTAAAAAGACAAAGTAAAGGGTTTTACCTGTGCTCTCCTCATTACTTCCTGGTTTCAAGGTAAAGTCCACTGGACGTGACGTGACATGTTTTGGGGTCGTAAACTGAGGATGTGATAAAGCCCAGACGGAAGTGCTTCCTTTTGAAGTAATATTTTCACCAACACATAATCCGCTTTGAGGAAACTTTCCACAATTAAATTCATCCGGCCACTCATATCCAAATTCGTTCATGATGGACTCGCAGCCAGATCGAACGTCGTCACACAACTTCCGACAAGGAGGTAGAGGAGCCTGCATTTGTGTACATACGGGTAGATACAGGACACAAAGAAATGGCACAAGGCTTACACTACAGTCGATTTTCATAAGAGGACTATACTGGTTAATGGCGATTATAGCATCATCCTGGCTATTGTCGTTAAATGTGTTAGGTAATATGGTGTAATTATATGGCATGGACTCGCATACAGAAGCACGTAACGGTTCGCATTCATAATAGGCCTCCTGGCAAAGCTTTAAAGTGATTAAGAAAGACATGATGACGCATATGGGACGTAAAACCGTTTTGGCGATCGCCATGATTTGAAGACGCTGATGAGTAAGTATCCCTATTTACTGCAGTCAACCGAATTCGAGGTCTATGTATTGGCTTGTATGGCCGTTACTGACTGTACCTAATGTGGCTGGATATTGGTATTTATTTGGATGTCGGTGTATACCTGGAATAAATAATGGTAATAAAACATAATATATACACATACATACACTTGTATAAACGTAATAAAAACACACATATAGACATGTATAAATGTAATTAAAGCACACATATACACATGTATAAATGTAATAAAAACACATATTGTCATGCCAAAACTAAAAAAAAAATGATATTGTCAAAAGTGTACTCATAAATATTCAAAATGAAAACACATATACACATGTAGAAATGTAATTAAAACACACAAATACACGTATAAACATTATCAAAACACAAACATACACATGTATTAACAAAACAAGAGGCCCAATAGGCTTGCATCGCTCACCTGGTATAAATCTCACACTATTTAAAATCATTTCACCCTGTGACCTTGAAAGTTGAACAAGGTCATTACTAGGTCCTTCGGGCCAGGTCAGCGAATAAAAACACACACATACACATGCATAAACCTTATGTTATGGCATTCCTACTTTTATTTGTTAGAAAGAGTGTTTCCCTCTACATTTACACACACAGAAATGTACATGGTATATTTACGGCCAAGCATCCACTATTTTGAAACCGAACGGAGGACGAACGGTGTCCAGACGATGCCGAACGCTGACCGCCCGCTTGCCCAGATGCTGTACGACCGCAGGACGACCGATAAGACTTGTATTATCGTTCGGGACAAACGCGACTAGAAACCGCTAAGCAGCCGAAGTATTCGTTTGAATCGCACTTTTAGCTAACTCAGTCAATCTACCAAACAGAGGTAATATCAGTAGTTTAGGTGGGGATTTAGAGGCGATTTGCCGTTGGTGGCGATTGAGGGGCGGTATTACAAATAGACTGATGACGGCATTTACCTTGGGTATTTGATTTCTGTGAGTGACTGCGGGAGCTAGCGAGAGCAGTAACAGGACTGTCTTGGGACATGTATTTTGAATGACAGGTTGGTTTTGACGACGTCATTGAGTTTTAGCATGATAGGTTGGTTTTGACGACGTCATAGATGTTTTACAACGAGTGGTTGCGCAATATGGTATTAATTTCACTTGAGTTGATTAATTTTCAAAATTTACAAAAGATACGAGCTTTAGCCTGTAACCTGGTTTTTCCACAATGTCACGCGGAAATAGCTGGAGTGTGACCCGATTAGAATACACATACACACATGTTGATGTTAACAAGACTGGAGTAGTGATATGACCCATATGTAAAAATGAACTCATTAATATTCAAAAATGCCTTTTTGTTTACAAATTTTATATTTTTCAAAATTATTATTTCGGCAACAACTTCATGACACAAACATAATTGATGAACGTCTTTAAATATTAAGAGTATGCAGTATTGCATTAAATTAATATAAGTAAGTGTGTTAAATGTTGTGTGATGCGTCTAGTTTTGGGGAATTGTAGCGTCAGGATGCCTGTCATCTTTCGCTTTCAACCTTCACCACTGGCTTGCAGCAGTGTGAAGAGAGAGCCAAGTGAGTAGGTATCTCCTACATAGCCTCTCCTCAGTAAGTCCTATATAGTTTCTCTACGTATCACAAAAAGTATCAGACCTGGAAGGTCATCGCGGAAAGGAAAAAGATGAAACTGAAGATGGAAGGTTCAAAATCACATAGACTGAAAGAGAGATGGAACGGCAAATACAATGACAAGAATAAAGAAGTGAAGAAGAATGCTAGAGAGGAGGATAGAAGGAAGTGGATAGGAAATAGGGCAGAAGAAGCTGACAAGGCGGCAGAGAATGGTAGGAGTAGAGAACTTTACACCATAACAAAGATGTTATCTGGAGGAAGAAACAATCAACTGGTGTCAGAGGCAAAAACGGAGAAATGAAGACCGAGAAGAAACAACGCTTGGGGAACATTTCAGTGATGTGCTGAATAGGGAAGATCAGTAAAATTCAATTGCAGAAAATGAACTAGAGCAAGTAGATGACATAGATGAGATCTACCTTGGGAGTTGGTCTGAAAGCGAAGTAGGGATGGCTCTAAAGAGAACAAAGAATGGAAAAGCAGCAGGAGTTGATGGCATAGCACAGGAGCTATTCAAGGCAGATTTACATGAAACAACAAAAAGACTTGCAGAGATTTTCAATATCGTATGGAAACAGGAAATATGACCAACTGATTGGAAGAAAGGTTTAATTTGTAAGATATTCAAGAAGGGTGATACAACTTGAGAGGAGTGACATTACTATCAGTCATTAGTAAAGTGTTTTGGAGAATACTTATAGAAAGAATGAAAAAAGGGGTTGATACAAAAACTTCGCAAAGAGCAAGCTGGATTTAAACCGAATAATAGTACAACTAAACAGATATTTACACTAAGGAATATCTTAGAACAAGCAAATGAAAGGAGGTCGTCACTGTATATTCACTGTATAGACTTTGAGAAAGCGTTCGACTCTGTGCATAGGTACAGTTTATGGAGGATAATGAGAAGTTATGGAGTACAAGATATTATAGATGAGAATGAAACATCGGAGTGGTTTGACAAAAGATCTGGGTTGGAACAAGGATGGGATATGTCAGGATTTTTGTTCCTTTTCGCCATCGACTGGATTATGAAGAGAACAACAGCAGACAAAGTGAGAGGCATACAGAGGAAATACAACTCCTCCCTGGAATACATTGAGTTTGCCGATGACATTGCTCTTTTGTTATCGAAGCTGAGTGATCTAAGTGAAAAGACAGAAAGACTAACATCTGAGGCAGCAATAATTGGACTAAGGCAAGACACGTAGGAGCGAACAAGCAAAAAAGAATGAAAATATCCTCTTTGTGCTGTAATGGACAGAGAAGGAGGAGGTAGTAGTGATTTCAAGAACAGGCTATAGAAGCTAAGAGGCATTCCGCCGACTATCAGAAATATCTGGGGAGCACAAGCTATTGGTGGAAAGACAAAGATGCATCTGTTCAAGTCGCTTGTTAAACCTGTATTATTTTATGGCTGTGAGACCTGGAGAATTACAAAAGCAGAAGAAAAGAAACTGAACACCTTCCAATACCAGTGTCTCAGAAGGATATTGAGAGTAAGATGGCAGCAAAGAATGGCAGCAAAGGATACCAAATTCTGAAATTAAAGAGCTAGCCAACATAAATGACATTAGCTGTGAAATAAGGAGAAGAGGGTGGAACTGGATTGGTCACATCTTGAGGAGAGAAGGAACAAATGACTGTACAACAGCTTTGGGATGGGCACCAGAGGGGAAAAAACGACGAAGGAGAGCAAAAACAACCTGGCGAAGAACGGTTGAAAAAGAGCGCAACCATATAGGATGGTGTAGCTGGAACACCGCAAAAACAGCAGCGAAAGACATATTGGGTTGGGGGAAAAAAGTGGAGGCCTTATGCACCTACTGGCGCGGAGAGACTTAAGGTTAAGGTAAGCATATCGTACGAAATCTGCCTTCTGTCAAATGATGAAGACGAACTAATCGCTATCACTTTCCAAAACCATTGACGTGGGACTTTTCTCCATGGCAGTACTATATTTGCATTTGCGCTGCAACCCACCATAGGAACACAACCAGCAGAAATGCATTTCATTTGAGTATGAAAGCAAAATCTCTCGTGACGTAACACGTGATTTACTTATGACGTCATAGATTAACCTTGTTCAATTAGAGTCTTTTGGCTTCGCTTCGAATAAAGGAGTATAGACCTGCGTCAAACGCGCAAATGACTTCGGTTAATTATTGGCGCCAGTTTTATTTAAATAGGGCTGTTCCACCAATGTTGTTTAAAGGACGACGCATATACAAAACGCAGTTAATAAATAAATTATTTAAGAACAAATAAATAAAATTAAACAATTGTTCTATAGTAATAATGTAAATATATGGATTGAACGGCGTTTTTTCAAATTTGTATGCCGGTATGAACGCAAAACAGTTAAATCCATATTAAGCATGAAGCCGTAGTGGATACAATACAATATGGATAGTGATAACGGGACGTGGGGAGAACGACGCAGTGGCAGATCTTGTTCTGGTTTTACGGCCTAGGCACGAGACGGTATGACGTCGAAACGATATCGAGTTTCTGTAGCAATTTTCCTGAAACTAATTCAATTTCATAGCGATCAAATCTGTAGGTATCATCTTCTTTTGGTATTGTCTTAATCAACCTTTTTATCCCTTTCGCATTACCTCACAAAGTCACCAACACTTGCCGGTAGCCCGTCTCCTTTAAAATCAGCCATGTTGACAGAAGACGACTTAAACAAAACAGAAGGCAGCATCTTTTCGATGAATAAAAACTCGGAATGTCATTTACCACGTGTGGTGTTAACTCATATTTATCTAACAATCTGCATGTTTAAACCATGATCTGAGAGGGAAATGACACAGCGTATTGGGGTAGAAATCGAGTTTTTGCATGATTATAGGTAGCCTTAACCTTGAAAATTTGCTTAAACCTACATTATAAATAAATTCCCTTTGTTGTAGGGAAACAGGATTCTTTGTTTCTCTTCGATTGGTCGTGTTTCGAGGAAGTTCGGAATCTAAGTGCACTATCATCGACGACCATTTCAATCGGAGCAAATGCTGTACTGAAAGTAATATTTTGTTTGACATGTAGAGACCAAAATATCAACATTGCATTACCATGCTTATTCCAAATTGTCTTTTATGTACAATCAGTGCGGAAACATAGGAAATAAGCACAACAATTTATAAAACAATGAAATTGGTTAACTTTAACGTTAAAACATATACTTTCATTGAAGCTAGGAGACTTATAATTACCAGCAAATCAATCTTTATATATTAAACTAATCATTTTACTGTAGTTGTGATGGTAAATGTTATTTTTTATTTGTAAATTTGTAAATTATCTTAATAAGTAAAAAAAAAAACAAATCAGGACTTGGAACTCACTTCAGCCACAGGTGCTGAACACATATTATATGATATATATATAAAAGTGACTCAGTTAGCACCGAAAATGTCATGAGCCAGAACATGAACCGGGTGACTGGAAACATGATTGTTATG